TGGTCTTCATTTTCAGAACCTCTAGCATTTGAGAGGGAAAGATGTGCTTGTCTGAACAAAATCAGTCATTTTAACTTCATTTAGAAAAAGAAAACTCACCGATTTCACTCTACTGGGCTGACATTAACTGCCCTGTGACAATGCTATTCTGTTGATAGCACCATAAGTAGTGCTTGTTTTCTGCATTGTCATTTTGGGAAGGGAAGGGAAGGGACGGGAAGCTTTCTCTTTGGCATCTTTCCTGTGAGGTTGTTGTTTCTGCATAGGAGCATTTAAACATTATCCCCCCTACCTGCATTCTGACATAACTTAGTCTATCCTTTCTCCTTAGGACCTGATGCAGTTATTTGTCCAGATGTGTAGACCTGGAGCCAATGTACACTAGACAGTTTTACTGGCATTGTAATGCCTAACTTGCTAACATGTCACATCATTCCCCAACCCATCCTCCTGGAAATTTTTGCCATTATATCCCAGAGATCTTCAGACTGTTATATCAGAACAGTTAATACTGGGGGAGATACATATACATATGTGCATACATACAAATCTGTGTGTGCACTACTGTTATGGGACCAGGAGAAGTAACATCAGTGGGCTGGAAGTAGTAAGGAAGAGGAGGTATCATATCAGGGCTTCAGCAAAACAGCAGGAAATATAAGGAGACACTTCAGTTACTGCCTACTCCATGCCCCCCCCCCCCCCCCGCCTTTGAGCTCACTTGCTCTTGCTCTCTTTCTCTCTCTCTCTGACTTGCCCAGTGAACTGGAGAAAAATGCAGTGCAGCTTCTCCCCTACTCCTCTCTTGTCCTTTCATGAAAATAAAGTTGGCCATATCTTTTCAAGCCTGAGAACTCATCAACCCAGGGTAAATCATACGATCTTCAATGGCCTTACTCAGAAGTAACTCAGATTGAATTCAGTGGTAGCACCACTGAATTCAATCTGAGTCAGAAAGCAAACATGGGAGAGGCTGTACTTTCTTTCTGAGAATTGCTTTTGTTTGCAAGGGAATAGCAGGGGCTGACCTGCTGCTTCACCCCACAGGAGATGGAAAGACATCAGCAACAGTCCACAGGCTGCCTCTCTTCCCTCCTCAACCCTTCAGCATGAATTTTGGTGAGGCCAAGAGGAGCCATCTTTTCTTTTCTTTTCTTTTCTTTTCTTTTCTTTTCTTTTCTTTTCTTTTTAAAGAATGCACCGCTCCTTCACAAATATGCACATAGCTAATAGAGCTATGCAAATAGAGCAATAAACATGCACATAGACATGAAACTGAAAGGCCATTTCCCTGCACACAGTTCTTTCCAAGTTCTCCAATCCTTCCTCTACTCTGAACACAGTGGAAACTGGACTGTATGCATTACCATGCGTCCCAGCTGTGATAAATATATTTTGCATCACTTCCACCACTGGAGTCCCTTACAGAGGATCTACTGAAGATCTCCCACATTTCAGAAACAGAACAGAAGCAGGCAAGATCTTGTCTGGGTGGGCAGGGGAGGAAGCCTGTCATCCATAGTACCAAACAGCTGCTAGTTAGTATGGGCAGTACTAAACTAGACTGATCATTACAGAGTAGTTCTTTAAAACAAAATAATGAAGATCCTCTTGCTGTTTCCCATTATTTCAATTACTGTGTGATTTAATAGTATTGCTTATTTTGTTTACAACAAAAATAAATATATCTATCTAAATTATTTGTGGTTCAAGTCAGGAGAAAGGAGCTGAATGAAGTTAATGTGTGTGTGGGGGGGAGTGATTTTTTTTATTTTTGGAAAAAAAAGTGCTAACTGACCTCTCTATGGAGTGAAAAAGAGCTTTATGCTTGCAATCAGCAGAGAGAGAGATGCCTTGTAACCTTGGCAACATGGGTATAGTTTGTGTGTCAAAAAGGTGCTGCAGAAATGTTTCACAAAAAGACTGCTAAAAGCACTGAAATGAAGTGTAACCCCCCCCCCCCATTATATTGCCTGGTGGGTTTCAGGAAAGCTGTCCCTTAATACATACAGGAGATAGGAGAGTGACTAGTGAATTGAAATAACCAAGATATGCATGAAAAGATATGTAATTATTTCTGACTCAAAAAAGCACCAATTAGTTGTGTTGGTCCATTTGGGGTCAGGGGAATCAAACAAAAGTCTTATTAGGGTCAATGGAAAGAGGAAAAAATAATGAGCTACTTTTTGAATTTCACAGAACTCTTCCTCATGCTGGACACAGAGGAATTCTCTACATGAGGCGTTTAACCCTAACCCTTTACTGGGGCTTCCGCTGCTGCTTTCTTGGTAGAAAGATTAGAGCATCCTTCACATAAAGATTTTTCCCAAGTATTTTACTCTCTTCTGTTCCATAACATATCACAAGGTGGCATTGTGGTATAGAGTGGAATTGTGAAACTATTTCAGGCTTCTGTGGCAAAAAAAGTCCCAAGCTTTCTTCTTTAAACAAAGAAAAGTCACAGAAATGACAGGAAAACTCAGAACAGGTACTGGAAAAATGGAAACACTCTGAAAAGGTGCAACAAACTTCTGTAAGGAATTGCAAGAACACAGGAAATGCCTACATGGAGAAGCCTTAAAAAGTAAGAGGGGAAAAGACTAAAAGCTGTTGCAAGACATTAATGGAGATAGATCTGCAGCATGCAAGAACATCCAGACTAATAAAGTTACACATTTGCCACCTACAAAGCATTTTGGGATACAGCAGCAACAGCTATTTTCCCTTTGAAAACATAAACACAACTCAAAAGCTAGACCTTTATTTTGTGACTTTCTGTTGCTCCTAGTAAAGTTATACTTCTAATTATTTCCTATGTTTATCTCCAAGCTTTTCTCTAAAGAGTTCAAGGCAGTATGAATGTTTATCTTCCCCCTCCCCACTCTGTTTTATCCTCACAACAGTCTTGTGCAGTCAGCAAGAGTGCAAGTTGGCAACTGGCCAAATGTTACCCAGTGATCAACATAGCTTGATGGGGATCTAAACAGAACTCTGCCTGGCCCTATTCTGACACTATAGCCACTGCATTGCATTGCTACTGCTGTTAGAATAATTTCAGTTCTGAAACACTCAATTTATTTTCTATCCCCATTAAAAAAACAAGAACAAAATTGAACAGATCTGTGGTTATTTTTTCTGTTTCTGTTTTCTGCATATCTTTGTGAATAAAATTGCTCCAAATCTCACTGAGCAGAATTATTCTGAATCATTAATGTACAGTGTACTTAAAAGAAGAACTGTGTGTTTCTGCAAAAATCATAGGTTCCTAGTCCCATATTTCCTGATAATGTAAGTGAGGGCAGGGAGGTATTTTCAGAAGAGAGGCAAGGAACTGGGAGCAGTGTGCTTAACCCATTTCTTGCCAGCAGCATTTCCATTCTAGCTCCTCTATATGCTCAGGCTTCTTCCTTCCATCCAGTCTTGTTTCTTGTCTTGAATCCTGGGGAAGGCAGAGGGAGGGGGAGCTTAATTGGAAAGCAGCATGTGGGGAGATTACGTAAGAACATAACAAGAATCCTGTTGGATCAGACTGAGAGCCCACAGTCCAGCATTCTCTTCACCATTAGAACCTCACAAGTAGGCCAAGAGTGCAACGGTGAAGGGGTGCAAATGGCTGCAGTGACAAACTGGGCAAGGGGGTCTAGAAGCATCTCTTCCCACCAAGCACCTCTCTGAGTATGCTGTCCCTGTCTCAGAATTATGCAGCAAGTTTGGGGTCAGCAGCTCATACTTGCTTAAATAAGGTATCGCTGCACCCTGAAAGCTTAATTGTACTCATGAGCACCCAAAAAAATCTCATCTTCCACCTCCTAAGTTTATCGAAATGTACCTTTGAGTAATCATACTAAAGATTGTATCCTTACCCTTACACCCCATACCTTAGCAAGTTTCCTGGTCTGTTCCTCTAGTTGACACATATACGCCTGCAGTGTAAATATATGTAGTCCTTCCTGTTAATATATAAAATTTTTGCCCTTGTTAATTCTCACAGTAACCCTCTGAGATAGGATATCAGTATCCCAGGTTGTTAGCCCTGGTCATAAGCAGCACATGTCTTCAATCAAAACACGAGGGCAACAGAGATTGAAGGAGAACCAAGGCTTAGTCAGGTAAGGGTAAGAAACTCTGCTAGATATAGCAAGACCAAAGCAAAAGCAGTAAGATGCAGACAGTAATGGTGAGATATTAGCAAAGGCATGGCAGGACCAGGGGCACAGACAGAGCCAGGAACAGGCAAGGATTAGATATAGCCAAAGACATGACAGAACAAGGGACAAGGGGAGTCAGGAAATGATCAGAGTCAAAATGCTGGTGAAGATATTGCAGAACTAAAGGCAGAAGCCTGGTCAGAAGCAAAGGTTATTACTACAAGGATATACGTTCTTCTGGCAAAGCTGAACAGGCATGGAAAGCATTTTGCAGGACCTCCTATGGCACCTAGTCTGCATGAGCAAACCAGTGCTGATTTTGCAAGCAGCTGCAGGGGTGGTGTTAATACTGCAAGTATTCACAAGGTGAACTAGGCTTCTTCCTCTATCAAGCCACCAGGTGGGTTACAACACTTTGCAGATACAAGTTAGGATACAATAGTTGAGGGACATTGATTGTGCCCTGGTCACAGACTAAGAGCATGGCTGAGGCACGATTAGCTTCTCTTCAAACTGGCCGACAACTTCAGGAATGTCACTAATGCATGATATTATATTCCATAGGAAATTCTGGTTTCTCACCCCACCAAACGTTTCTACCATGATGAAAGCCACACATATTTCCTTTAAAAAATTAACACTCTTCTTTTTCAGAAGGAAAGAATCCATCAAACTCTTGTAAAAAAGATGTAGGAAGTAATAAAACTGTCAACCTATATATTGTATGAACAATGTATCTCTTCTGAAGCATCAAAGCTTGAAGTTAGTTCATAGTTTTCAGCCAAAGAGAAACCAAGGTTGAGGATGAGTTCAGGCTTAACACGTTTCCACTTTCTTCCCTTCCTGCTGCAGAAAGCCCGGCTGGCCAGGATTCGTGTGGCCAAGACAGGCAGTTCTAATGCCTACCTTCACAGCAAGCGCAATGGCCTCCTTAATGAAGCTCTGGAGTTGACGGTACGTACATAGAAAAGCAAACCCTTTCAGGGAAATGTTAAAAAGTATTTCCACCCCTTATTCTTCCCTTGTCTCTCCCTGTGTCACTTCTGTAGGCAGGCTTGAGCTGCACTATAATTACACTGTAATCTTACTGAATGCGCTAAATGTAAGTAGCTCTTGTACAGTTGCACAAGAAAAGGATTGCAATGTGAGTTTCTTGGGCTCCTTCTTTAAAGCTCAGGCAGGAGATAGGCCCCTAATGATGACAGAAAGATTAAAAAATGAATCTACCTTTGAGCAGTAAGCTCAAAGCATCACTTTCAATTAACAATACTGACACAGATATCAATGGAAACAGGATAGAGCCGTTATTCACTTCTGCAAGGCTGGGGAACCTCAGGCCTCCTTTCCCCATCCAGCCCTCTGAGGTTCCCCAAACTGACCTTCCTGGTTGCCCTTCTTCTTGCCCCCATCCCAACCACTTTCTCCAAGTCACCAGTTGTTAGGTAGTTTCCTGGTTTGTGCAGTTTATTTACCACCTTATTGGTAAAAAGTTTAGGGTTTCTCCACATAAGACTTTTAACCCACCACTTTTCTGAGACTTCTGGATTTTTCATGGGATTAAAGTTGGCTCCTTTAAGTGTCCCGTCCCCCCATTTAGTTTCTCTGCCTTTGTGTGAATTTCATTACACAACCACCTGGCCATGGTGCCATATAATGAGGGCCTCATGCTGGTTCATTCCACCATATCCAGATATATACACATTTCTCAATCTTCCCCTCAAAAAAAATGGCTGGAAAGATACAGAGAGTCCTCAAAGATGACAACTCCTACATATTATCATGAATGAAGAATCACAAGCACCCAATACATGCTTCATATACAGAAGCCTTATTTCCTGGTATTAAGAGCTTTAAGTCAAAATAAGCCTCCTCTTGACTTCCTCTGGAATGTAACCACAAGAGTTTCTCTGCAACAGGATTTGCCTCTCAGGCTGAAGGAGTTTCCTTATGGATGGAAATCAGGTATGCGATCATTCTTCACAACTGCCTGAGCTTGTCACAGCAGTTGGCAGAGATGTGAAAGTGTGTAAAATGATGTGGAGAGCCATATGAACATGTGTATTTTAATGGCTTGGGTCACTTACCACAGGAAGGCTATTCCCAAAGTTAACCCCTTAAGTATAAAAGGTACTCTTTCCTGAAATCTCCTTGTTTCAAAATAACTAGAGGCACAATCCTATGCATGTAGACAAAAATCCTACAGTTCCTAGCATGGCTGGAGAATGCTGGAAATTGCAGATTTTTTCTATCGAAACGTTCATAGGATTGTGCCCTAAATCTCCAATTAAATGTCTTCAGATCCAGGCTGTGATATTTCTTAACAAGTATTGTGCTTCTGCAAATATTTCTGTACATGAGACCCATGTGCAGGAGCAAGTACCTTTTGGATTAGCAACTAAAGATACATGAACCATGCATTAGAGGAATCCCACAGCTCAATTAGGCAATCTTTTCTTGGCTGAAGACTGATTTATTTGAAATGAAATCCATGAAAAGGCATTAATACCTGCTCAGGACTTGATCAGATTTGTTGAAGCTGAGTCTGTTGAGAAATCTGATGAACTTGAGACTTCCGCTCCCTCTTTCATGAGTTGCTAAGATTAACTACCAGAAGCTTTGACTGGAAAAGTAAAATGGTCACCACACCATGTAGAAGCACAGAATGACAATGGGACAGGAAAGGGGATAAAAGTTAATTACATACTTCACAACTGGACTAATGTTCACACCCCTCTTAAAAGGATAAGAAGACTAAGATGACTAGATCCTGGGTCCAAAATTACTTCGCTATGCTACTGCCACTTCCTGCTAACTGTGGAAAAGCAGTGCTCCAGCACTGCTAAACAGCTTGAGTACAGAAGTATTGCAGGTCCTGTGCATGGCAGCAAATCCATCCTCCAGATTATCCCAGAGAGATTTTCAGTGTGTACTTCACTTTATTCTCCCTCTGGCTATGTCTAAGCATAATTTCTTGGATGACCAGGGGCCCCTGCCACCCAGAAGATCATTCACTCAACAGGACCTGCCTTTTGGCTGAAACTGTCCATTCTTGTGCTTGGTACTGGCAGTCAAATTGGCAGCCAATACAACAGACGAATCTTAACAGGATCTTTTCCTTGCATATAAAAATACTGTCAGTGTGGGTGTTGATAGAATTTATGTCTGCTCAGCCTAACAATTGGTCATTTCTGATCCTGATTCTGTATCTATTCTGTATCCAGTATAGCTTTCTAGTCTATAGTAGTCCATGTCCTTATTCCCTGTCTGATGCATATGCCAGTGAAAGCCCCTGCAAACAGAATTCAAAGTTCAATTTTAAAGACAGAGAATGAGGAAAAAGAGGAGATATTGTTAGCAAAAACACAATGAACTCTTTGAACTTGGTGCAGTATTGTTGAGAGCTGGCTTGGACTTCAAGTGCCAGCTCAGATGAGTTTATTAGGTTCTTTGATTTAACTACATAGTCACAGAGAAGACACTGCAGGAATCTAAATCATGCCCAGTTTTACTTGGTGATTTAAAGCTTCATAGTAGCTTGGAAGGTGTGCAGAACTTCCTGAATACTCTGACTAGCCTTTCTTTCTTTCTTTCTTTCTTTCTTTCTTTCTTTCTTTCTTTCTTTCTTTGTTGCCCCTTGATTTCACTTTTGTTATATTCTATCCATTAAGAGACACTTATCAGAAAGACAAGCATCTAAATTCAGAGTTGATCAGCCTTTAAATTATGTTACCAAAAATAAAGTTTTAATGATAGATGGGAGAATAGGATTCTTCGTGCAGCTTTGTAAGATGGACTGACATTTAAAACCTGTCTAATTATGATGGTGGTGATATAATCCAAAGCAGCTAATAGCATAAATCAGAAATGATCATTATACAATGAAATGTTAATAATATAATAAGCAAATATTTCTGTTCTGATACTGCTTGTATAGCACTTCAGGCATAAAGAACATTTTGTTTCCTACTCAAAATAGCCCTTATTTTATGCCATTTAAATCCTCATTCTCTTGGAGCAAATGGAGGATGAGAGCACCTGTGTTTGTCCCACCATCCAGTGAAACTAATGATAGAGATCTGAGTTCACCCAGTTGAGACACCAACATCTGAGACTAGATCTCAAACTCAACTCTCTGTTTCCACTGTGATTATGGAAATGTGGTACTTGAGGTCTATTGTAGTAATAAGCGCAGTGATAGATGATGTTGGAATAAGCAAGGGAATCAGTGTTTCAGTATACAATCAAATTACTCCCACCTATGAAAGGGGAAGGGTTTTGAAGGGATTTCATTCCCATTTAGGCCACAAAAGGAAGACCTTGTAATGCTTCCATATTTGGATGATCCTATGTCATTGTTCTGACTTGTTCACAGAATTTTGGGGGAATGAGTTCCAGACAATACTATCTTCCAGTTGTAAATGCCTGTATTTTCCCACTGCTTCTTCTATCTTTTTATCACAGGCTTTTTAGAGACCTAGTTCTACATTGTTATGGTTGTGTTATCAATTCCTGTTTTCTGCATCGCATTATATTATTACGTTTGCATTGTATTTTATATTTTTAAGCTATTTATATGAAATTTTAATCTTCTAATTAAAAGAAGGCCATCTGCCCAAGGAGCATTGACTCTTGAGCAATGAAAATAAAATACATAATACATTATATTGAAATAAACTATGTCAACTTATCAGTTTAGGATGAACTCTAAAGTTACGCCCTTTTCTGTAAAGATTGCAAACCTATATATATTTATTTGGAAGTAAGTCCCACTGAATTCCCATTGAATCAAGTGGAACTTATACCCAGTCAAGTGTGTTTAGGACTGCAGCTGATGTCCAGTGTTGGCCCATTCCTTAAGCTGAAGGTGTCTAGGCAGCTTTCAGCAGTTCCTAAACAGTACCAGAGTACAATAAAATAATCCTCAGTTGAGGCATTCTTGGAAAAATTGCATTCTCATTTTCCCTGAAACACTTGAAAATCTGGTAACAGAAGTTGCTTTGTGATTAGTCAGCTTTACAGACCTGGGCTTCTTCCAGACAAGATGGCCGCTAGCACTACCAATTAAAAGGTATAATGTTTCTCATCTGTTTCTCCTTAATAGATTGAGGTGGAAAGCAAGGTCTTTGACACCAAAAAGATAGCTATGGGGGTATTTGCCCTTTCTGGGGAGGACATGCCCCAAGCAGGGTGCCACAAGTAAGAGGGTACTCCCTCTTTAGCAACCTGCCTAACTTTCTTAGAAAAACTGAGCCCTATAGAACCCATAATGTCATTGCTGTAGTATACTAATCACCTTCTCGAAGTATCCGACCAGGTGGGAATGGAATAGTCATAACACAGTGTCTCCCATTCCAAATCCAGACAGCCACTCTGGAAGGATACCATATGTAAGAAAACTGAACTCTTCTGGGATGTCCAAGAGAACAAACAGTGTCAAACTCCCCACGTGTCTTTCTTGGCAATCGGCATCTGCCACATTTTTTGTTAACTCTGTAGGTGCATACCTGTGGAAACTTGGCACAACAAAGAGTTTCTCACTGAAGCTTGAGTGGCTATTAAAGCTATTATTTTTTATTTTTATTAAAAAAATTTTATGTCGCCCCATTCGCCGAAGCCTTGGGGCGGCTTACAACAAAAAATTAAAATAACATTTTAAAATATATACATTAAAATACAAATATATAATATAAAACATACAATATAAAACAAGCCGCCCTGGCCAAATAAGATTCAATAATATTAACATTTAAAATACTGCTTAAATAAAAAGGTCTTCGCCTGGCGCCGAAAAACAAATAACGACGGCGCCAGGCGGACCTCTCTGGGGAGCGCATTCCATAACTTAGGCGCCACCGCTGAGAAAGCCCTCCTCCGAGTAACCACCCTCCTAACTTCTTCCACGGAGGGCTCCCGGAGAAGGGCCTCTCCCGCCGATCTCAGGGGGCGGCTGGGCA